GCGCTAAGTGCCTTTAAGGCAGGAAGGATGGTACACACTGTTTGCGAGAGTGTCACGACAATCGTAAGCTCGCTGCGCCTGACGAAGCCGACCGGAACACCTCCCGCCCGGGCCAACCAAACCGTCCACCCTTCGGGAACGGTAAATTGGAGCCGCGTTTGTCTGGAAGGGTAGGAACATTGACTTGTACGTGGGCTTCGCCTCCACGAATCCTTGCCACATCGCATTCAATGAGCCCTACGATTCCGAACGGAAGAAGAATGCGTCCTGCATCCGAGAAAGGGGTTGACTAAAGAAGGTCCTGTTCTCACTTCCTCCCCAACCGTAGCCAATTACACTCCTCAATTTAATGATTTCAGAATGAAAACGGTGAATTGGCCCGCAATTGATCCCATGAGCAGGCCGAACATTCACTCAAAGGTCGCCAGGATGATGGACGCCGAACCTATGGCGCCCCTCCCTAAAAAAAAGTTTGCCAAACACGGCACGTCGTGCCTAGGGGAGGAAAAAAAGACAAACTCCTCAAAACTTTCCCAATGATCCCTTTACTATAACACGCTACCTATTTCAAAGCCCGAGAAACTGCTGTTGAGCGGAATAAGGTTGTAGACCAGTTGAGTAAAATCAAGCGAGAAAATTTGCAAAAGTGAATAATCGGCAACACATTTGATATTTTTCGCATTATTCCCAAATACAAATACGATCCCGTTCTTCCAGCGATCAAATACGTCCCCATCGCTGCGAATAATCAACGTAGGACGTCCCTGTTGACCAACGCCAATCACTTTGCCCTTTGTCCGAGTCACTGTGAACCAGATGACTAATTAAAATAATAGTAACAAACCTGTAAGGAGCCATACGAATCTTACTGCAAGATTCTATAATGACAGCTGCACGCACTCCTACATGAAGTCGAAGCTCATGGGAATTATGAATACGCAACTGTTGTGCGGTGGCAAATATTTGGGACCTGCAAAAAGTTTGAGCAAATACGAAACGGCAGCCATAAAGAAATCGGCGTACGAGTGAAGGCAGCTTTGAAGGGGTTGTGGCCACTATGTTTGTGTATTGGATTTCAAGCGAGAAGTCCAACACACAAACAGATTTTATACCGCGTTCACTCTTCCCAGCGCTGGGATATAGAAGATTAGGAGACCAAAGGAGGGATAGGGGATCGATCGACTCCGGTTGCCAGTGAGTTGGGAGAGCTACGTTAGGAGACCATTAGACACGGAGTGAGTGGAACATTGAGATTATAAGAAAGGTTGCCCGTGAAAGGAAAAAAAAATCAGTTTCGATTTAGGCGAATCTGAAAAAAATGGGAGATTAGGTCGATCCCCACAAACTCTTTTT